TTGGGAGGCAGAGGAAAGGAGTATACATTTTCCTGATGCTTTGAGTATGGTGCTAGCAAAAACATTGCTTTCTTTACAGGCCATCCAATGCTCAGCCGCCAGCTCCATGAATGAGTATGACAAGTGGAAATTTAAAAAGTTCACACTTTTGTCACCTGTCCAGCATATTGCCATCTCTGTCTGGAAAGAAATCCTAAAGAGGACAGGACACTAGAACTGGCATCTTGGCAGTGATTCAGGAAGGCATGGCTGGTCCTAAGACTGTTCTCAACTGACTTGCACTAAGGGGCTGAGCTAGGTGGGTGACACCTGGCCCAGACCCTCTAAGAATGGGCTGATCAGCTGGAAAGAAAGTCCTTGAAGGAAGGCTAGAGCTGGGCCTATGTGCATCGGATGTTGTAAAGGGCTAGGTTTAGGATGAGAGCCAGGAGAAGTGCCAACATGAGGTAGAGCCAAAGCTCAGAAAGCCTGGAACCAAGATTAAAGGAAAGAGTTTCCCCCAGGATTTGCAGGAGAGAGTATGGGTACCAGAATATTTAAAAAGAGCCTGAAAAGGGGCGTCTCGGTGGCTCAGTCTTTGAGTGTCTGTGTTTGGCTCAGTTTGTGATCCCAGGGTCCTGGGATCGAGTCCCACATCAGGCTCCCCACAGGGAGCATGCTTCTCCCTCTGCCTATGTTTCTGCCTCTCTCTGTGTGTGTCTCATGAATAAATAAATAAAATCTTTTAAAAGAAAAAAAAAAAAAAGAAAAGCCTGGAAAGGCAGGATGCCTGCCAAGACTGGAGCCTATCTCTGTGTTTTCTTCTGCATCCACACTGGTAGTGAATAGAAAAGAGCCACATCTCACCTGGTCAAGGGGAGAGATTTCCAGCCAGAGATTACCCAATATATCAGTTACTATAGGAGTACAGTGGACATTACCCATGGCTTTTGACTCTCCAGGGAGGAATCCTCTGTGTGGGTCTTGTGGGAGGCAATGCCTGTATCCCACTATAGATGTTGAAGGAGCCAGGTATTCTTAATCCCCTGGCAGCTGGGAAGTGTGCCCCTGACCCAAGCCCATCCTATCACATGCTTCTACCTGGAACTTTGAATCTTCAGGGGATGATGCAAGTACAGAGGGTCTATTGAGAAACCACTTCTGACAGCAGCAGCAGCAGCAGAGGTTGGTCATCCTAACTGGAAAGTTCCTGGCAGGGATTGGGGTGGGGTGGGCAGAAGGACCTTGGCTATGTCTCCACTGCCCAGCCCACTGTGATCTTGCTCTTGGGGAACTCATGTTCTTGCTGCTTTTCTGCTCAGCCATTCTCAGCATGTGGCTTCCATCCTTGAAGTGACTTGTCTCAAGATGGCAGCTGACCTCTACCCATCACATCTGCATTCTATATACAAGAAAAGAAAGATCAAAGAGCAAAAAGGTATACTCCCAGCCAAAACAGGCCCTTTTAAAGAACTTTTTTGGAAGCCCCACATAATGATCTTTTCCTTACATTTAATTGGCCATTTCTGTCTACAGAGGAGGCTGGGAAATGTCACTGGGGGCACATTGGCACCCCCAGGAGTACAGAGATTTTTCTTAGAGCAAAAGAACGGAAGAATGGATATAGACTAGACAACTCGGGAGGGTAAAGAAAACAAAGTTAAGGGGAGGTAATAAAAATGATATCAATCTGGGCAAGATAGCACATCAGGTTTGTATTCAATATTCTTCTTGTTTCCATCACATAGCAATGAAAGATAAAATTTGTCAATAATCAAAAAGATAGAGCCAGGATCAAACTGCAAGGTAAACATCTCTTTGGATCAAAAATAAGCAGAAGCAATGTGAGTGGTGAGAGGAAAGGCCTCATGGGTTCTAGGTTTGGAAGTGAGCAGGAGGTGCTGGGGGCTCAGCTCTGGGGAGAAAAAACACTGTTAAAGCTCCTGGTGAGAAAAGGACCTGAAGCAGGTTCATGGAGGTGAAACAGAGCTGAGAACAAGGGCTGCCCACTTGCTGTTGGGGACTGGGGATTATAGGGAGCTGGGGACCTAGGGAGGTGGGCAAAGGGGACTGGGAGCCAGCTTCCTGACCAGGAATCCAGTCCAGTTGCATGCTGCCTCCTTCCATGGGTCTGCAACATGACTGGTTTCCTCCCGGAGCGGGGTCTCAGAGCACTGGTTACTGTGGAGGTAACCAACAACCGCTGGACTTCTGGACAGGGGGAGAGAGAGAATGAAACCCAAACACTGCCCAGAAAAACGAACGAATAAAAACCTTCCTATTCAAAATGAGCCTGCAAAGTAAGTTTCCAAAATATGAAGGAATCTCATGCCAAGAAAAGCAGTCAAGAGATTTACCAAATCAAAGCATGATACAGATTAAGCTTTATGGAACACTATGGTAAGAACCTAAATAAGTATGCTCAGGGTAGTAAGATACACAGACATAATTTCAAAATTAAAAAAAAAAGCAAAAATTGCAGAGAGCCTCATAGTGGCCTCTGTGGGCACCAGTTATGGGAAGTGGCATCCATATTCAGTCTGGGTCTCAAAGTGGAAACAAGATCCTGGTCTGTTCTTGCCTCAGTTCTTGTCTGAAGGGAGTTTACTTTATTCATGGCTCCACTATTTCCTACATCCCAAATCTTCCTCTTTCTTGGTCAATTCTTTCATTTTGTGACTTGCCTCCTAAGAACGGTTAAAGGGTGGTAAATTTTCTGAATTCTTGCATATCTAAAAATATCATTTGTCCTCATAACTTGAACAGCTTGGCTGGATATAGAATTCTAGCTGGAAAATGTTTTCCTTAGGAGGAAAAAAAAATCAACCTAATAGCATTGAGCACCCAGGCACCAAATTGTGGTCCCTAAATATCATTTTCCACTAAGGGAATCCTCACTCCTTGGAGAATTGGGTGGCTAATAGGTTTTGGGTAGGAAATTTCCAAGGTAAACCTGAGATATCTTGTGTTACCAGAAACTATGGAAGCTATAAACTTGGTCTGGGTGAGGATGTTTCACAGCCACAGCTCCAGAAATACCTGAGCCAAGGCCATGAGGGTTTTTTTTTTTAATAACCTATTTACATGTTTGAAAGAAATAGAAAAATGCAAGCCATTCACCTCTGTAAAATTAAGAACAAAGCAAAGATTAAAACAACTGTTGATGTCCCCCATTGGCGAGGCCATAGCACTAGACCACTAGCACTTTCTCACTGCACTTGGAGAATATGCTATTGGACTGGAGTTACCCTTTCCAGTGGCAATTTAGCTATATCCAAAATTTTAAATATCTATGCCTTTGACCCAGCAACATCACCTCTAGTACCTGTTCTCATTTAAATAGGTAACTAAAAATCTACATAACTGCATGGAAATATGTACAAGAACCTACATTGCAGCACTGTTTGTGAGGATCTAGAAACAACCAAATATCCATTATTGGAGGAGGAGGAGTTACATAAATTATGGTACATCCACGAAATGAAATGCTACGATGGAGCAGTTAAAATGAGTGAGGTAGTTCTGTCCAGGAGAAAAGAATGTCCTAATATATTATTGTTAAATGAAAAAAGCAAGTTGCAAAGGAACATGTAAATTATGTACACAGTGGTGAAACATTTCCATGTATGTGGAAGAAACATGCTCCCACACCTCCTGCAGCAATTCTGGTGTCCCACAGCGGGATGTGGTATGAGTCTGGGGGGGGGTAAGTGTGCACATAACACATATTTTGCATTGTTGGAATTTTTACAACTAGCATGTATCTTATTGCATTGTTGGAATTTTTACAACTAGCATGTATCTTATAATTAGGAAAAATAATGAACAAGGATCATAAAACTTTATTTAATAAATATAACCAAAAAATTCAAAATACTTTATTCCATATGTAGCCAATTAGAGAGAAAAAAAGAGAAGGAGGTGTCTGAAGAGATCAAATGAAAGGGTCAGGAGAAAGGTAGGAAGTTGGGGAAATGCAAGCATTAGAGAAACAGGGAAATAACAAAGGTAGGTGGAGGCCAGAGGGGTGCTCAGAGCCTCACGACTCTGAAGTACCACCTTCCATGGGTCATATCTCATGGGGTCTTCTATTCCTTGGCAGTGATAAAGATGCTAAACTGACACTTGGGGAATCAATCAGGGACTCCAGAAATTTAAAAGTCCTCCCAAAACCAGAAGGGCTGTCTGCTGCTTTTCTGACCATCAGGATTGCCGCACCCGCCCCCTTCCCCAAATAAAAAAGAATTTGGCCAGACATATGTAAGCTCTATCAGGGAATAATTTACCTTTTCTGAATAGACCTTAAGATCCTCAAGGCCATCTTTTTTTTTTTTTTTAACCAGGTCTTAACATCCATCTGCCCACTCAAAGCCTTTTTTAAAATTTTAACTGAAATGCTGGTTTCTATTCTGATGCCTTCAAATCATATCTGAGAGTTTACTTCATAGTTCATATTTTCCAAATCCATTGGGAAAGAATGGGAGGTCAGATCTGATTGTGGGATGTGGGGATATCATGTGGTGAGAAGGTGGTCAATAAATCAGTTCAAAGGAAGGTATTTGAGGGTACTAGGGAGATGCATTTTGCCCTGACACAGAGCAGATGAGCCTGGCTAAACCTATGAAGCGTTGAGGCCTCTGAGGAATTGTCTATGACTCAGCACATGTCTGGACCCCCAGGAAGGGCACCTGGTCCCTCTCCTCTGACCATGGGAAGGCTGGAGAAAACAATCCTAAGCATAAGGTCCCGAGATAGGTATATTACAGAGTATGTGGCAGTGTGGGGTGCCCGCTGGGGACACGCAGAAAGACTTGGTACACAGGTAGCAGGAACCAAAGCTCATCTTGGGCTGACTCCAGACAGGCCAATTCTAGTTTCAGAAAAGAGAAACTCCTAAAAAAAAAAAAAAAAGTTGGTTTTTTTTTTTTTGTTTGTTTTCCCAGAAAAAAAGGTCTGAGACCTTGCAGAGCCTCCCTGAGGGCATTGAGGAGCGCCAACAACATGGAATCCAGTCAGAAAGCTCATTTCTCCACTCTTTATTAAAGCTAGGTCCTCCTGCTGACGGCTCCAGGCCAGGGCAGAAGCAACTGGGGCCCAGGAGGGGCATCGCAGGTATGCACTCGAAGGGGTGCACAAGGAGGGATGAGCGCAGAGCCAAACCTCAGCCATGCAGGGCTACACCACTTTACCCTTGGCCCCTGAGGTTCCTGTCCCACAGGGAGAGGAAAGAAACTGAGAACAGGAAAGGCATCGTCCAGCATTGCTAATGCCCCCTGGGACCCTTGCCCTCCTCAGGACCCCAACCCACCCCGCCAGGTGAATTCTTACCACCACCATCCACACCCCCTTCCCACCCACCAACTACCGTGCCTCCTACCCCGCCCCCAGCCCCAGCAGCCTGGCTGTAGGCTCTCAGGCCCCGAGGCCATGTCTACACTAAAACAGAAGGAACTAGGTCTAAAAGGGAATGCAGTTGCTTCAAAATTTGTTTTCTGGCCCCACTCACAGTGGCCCAAAAGGCATTAAAGAGGGAGGGACCTCATGGGAGCCATACTTCAGCTGCCTGCCCAGTGGCTCCCCATGGCCCAGCCCGGGGAGTGGGGAGGTGGGGTGCCCACCAGGTGTGGGGCTTGCATAGCTGGATGCCTGGCTGGTCAAGGAGCCACAGGCTCAAGTCCCACACCCCCAGAGGTGGACTGCCACTGCACAGACTGCCCGCCCTGTGACGTGGGGTTCTAAACAGAAACACTACTTGCTTCTAGCATAGAATAATGACAGAAGCACAGTTAAAGGGACCTGCAGACGTCATAGAGCCCTAACCCCACAGGGATGTGAGAAATGATCCTGCTGCTGACCTGTCACTTGACAATTGGTTATTAAATCTAAACAAGCACTGGGCTCAGAGGGCAGGTGGCACCCTGGGCAGGTGAATGCTGGAGCCATGGCCGCAGCAGCCAGCCAGGCACCCCCAAGGGTCTCTGAGTGTGCCACCTCCAGCTGCCAGAGGCAACAGTACCGAAGGACTCAAAGGGGGAGGCGGAGAACAAAACCTGCCCAGCAGAACTAGTGCCTGGCTGATCTAGGTGCTCAAGTGGGGTGAGAGTGAGTGACCCTCCCCCAGAATAAGGCTTCAAACTCCCTCAGGACCCTGCGAACACCTGCAACCCATCCGCCTGGGGCCACAAATTTGGTTTCTGGCTGTTCCTCCTCCCCCCAGATTCTTCAGGCCATACAGGAGATGGAAATAAATATGCACAGTAGACAGAATAAAAGCTTCCCAGTTGCATCTCTGTCCCCCCTGGGGAGGGAGGAACATCGTCCTCCGGAAACCCATAAAAGGCTTCCCCTAGCCCCGCACAGTCCTTAAAACTTCTGGGACACACTCGAATGACCAGAAGGTCCCTGAAGTTTCTCACTGAGGAATGGGAAGAAGTCGTCAGCCAGACCCACGGGAGGAGCCAGATGCTCTGCTCTCGACCACCCCACCCTCCCCTCGACGCAAGGGCTTCCCCTCCGTCGCTGTACAACCCACTTACAAACTCATTAGCCACCGGTCCCCCAGGCCACCGCAATCGGAATCCGAGTGAAATAAATAACATCGCCTGCCATCCCTACCGCTTGGCTCGCAGTCTTGGTCGAGGTGGCCGCCCCCTGCCCTCGCCTCCTCCGCGCGCGGTCCTCCTTTCCCCACGCGCCCCCTGCACGGCCGGACGAGCTTGGCGGCCGGGTTTCCTGGGGCCGGGCAGGAGGGGCGCCCGAGGCCGGGGGGGTGCGGTGCACCGGGGGCTGAGGGGAAGGCACCGCACCAGGACTGGGGCCCTCAGCACCCCGAGGCCAGAGGAGCAAGGGGCCGGCGGCCCAGCGGGCTGCACCTCCGTCGGCCTCGGGCCATCACAGGATGCTCTCCTCGTAGGCGCCCGAGGGCCCCGCGAAGGTGGCCGTGGCCTCCGAGCCGAAGCTCGTCCCGCCCGCGAACTCCAGCAGGGTGCTGCCGCGCTCCCCGGGCCCGCTGCCCGCGCCCGGCGGCCCCTTGGCGGGCGCCTCGGCCTTGGACGCAGGGGCCGCCGGCGCCGTGCCGGGCGCGCCGGCCGCGCTGCGGTGCGTCTTCATGTGGGTGAGCAGGTGTGAGCTCTGCGAGAAGCGGCGGCCGCAGTTGGCGCAGGCGTAGGGCCGCTCGCCCGTGTGCGTGCGCTGGTGCGTGACGAGCACCGAGCGCTGCGAGAAGCGCTTGCCGCACTCGGGGCACGGGAAGGGCCGCTCGCCCGTGTGGCCGCGCCGGTGCTTGGCCAGGTTGGAGCGCTGCGCGAAGCCGCGGCCGCAGTCCGTGCAGCGGAAGGGCTTCTCGCCCGTGTGCGTGCGCCGATGGCGCTTGAAGTCCGAGCTGTGGCCGAAGCCCTTGCCGCAGTCGGGGCAGCGGTGCGGCTTCTCCTCGGCGTGCGCCCACTGGTGCCGCGTCAGCGCCGCGCTCTGCCCAAAGCGGCGGCCGCACTCGCCGCACGCGTAGGGCCGCTCGCCCGTGTGTGCGCGCCCGTGCGCGGTCAGGTGCGCGCGCCGGCTGAAGCCCGCGCCGCACACGCCGCACACGAAGGGCTTCTCGCCCGTGTGGCCCCGCACGTGCGCCGCCAGGTGTGAGCCGCGGGCGAAGCGCGCGCCGCACTCGGGGCACGGGAAGGGCCGCTCGCCGGTGTGCGTGCGGCGGTGGCGCGCCAGGTGTGAGCCGTACACGAAGCTCTTGCCGCAGTCCGCGCAGCGGTGCGGCCGCTCGCCCGCGTGGTAGCGCTGGTGCTTGGCCAGCGCCGCGCGGCGCCCGAACGTCTTGCCGCAGTCGGAGCAGATCCACGGGCTCTCCTCCTCCGCCAGCGCGGCGGGTGCCGGCTCCGCCAGCAGCCCCCCGACGGCCGGCGCGAACGCGCGCAGCCCACCGCCGCCCCCGCCCCCCGGCCCGCCGCCGCCGAAAGGGTCGCAGGTCAGCCCTGCGCCCTCCACCAGGGCCAGCCGGCTCCCCAGGGGTCCCGACAGGGGGCGCCCGTCGGCCTGCAGCCGCTCCCCAAAGTCCGGGAGGCCCAGGATTGGGAAGCCGTCCGGGTGGAGCCAGGACTTGGGGTGCACGGGAAAGTGGAAGCCGAGGGGGTGCGAAGAGGGTCCTTCGCCCTCCCCCAGGCCATTGCCCAGCTCGAGGAACCGCCTGTCCGGCTCGGGGTCCTCCTTGCTCCCGGGGGTGGGCCCCGCCGCCACTGCCTCCTCTCTCGCCTCGACCTCGACCTCTCCGTCCGCCTCGCCAGCCTCCGCCTCCTCTGGCCCCTCCGGCCCGGCCTCGGCCTCGGCCTCCTCGGGCCCTGCCGCGGCTACTGTGTCGCAAAGCTCCCGCCGAGGGCCGTCGCTGCCCGCCTCCGCGCACCCGCCTCCGCGCCGGTGGCGCTGAAAGTCCGCGCGCAGGCGGAAGGCCTGGCCGCAGTCAGGGCAACAGTGCGGCCGGTCAGCCGTATGCACCGCCTGGTGCCGCGCGAGCGCCGAGCTCTGGCTGAAGCTGCGGCCGCAGTGCGGGCACGGGTAGGGCCGCTCGCCCGTGTGCGTGCGCTGGTGTGTGACCAGATAGGAGCGGCGTCCGAAGCCCGCACCGCAGAAGGCGCAGCGGTAGGGCCGCTCGCCCGTGTGGATGCGCCGGTGCGTGACCAGGTGCGACTTGTAGACGAAGCGCTTGCCGCAGTCCGGGCACGGGAAGGGCTTCTCTCCCGTGTGCGTGCGCTGGTGGATGGCCAGGTGTGAGCGGTACACGAAGCCCTTGCCGCACTCATCACAGCCGAAGGGCTTGACGGCGGCATGGTAGCGCTGGTGCTTGGCCAGCCGGGACCGGTGCGGGAACACTTTGCCACACACGTCGCACGTGGTCTCGGGCCGCCCCACCGGAGCAGCCACGGCGGTAGGAAACGCCCAGGGTGCCAGCAGGCTTGCACCAGGCTCTCGGCCAGACAGGAAGGGCTTCGCCTCAGACCCCTGGGCCAGGCCCCCGAGGCCCCCGGGGTCTGGACCCCACCCCTCCGGAGTCTGCGCTGAATCAGAGTCATCGGGACCCCATGTCCCAGGAACGTCTCCCACGCCGTAGGCAGCTGACCAGAGGCCCGGGGGCTCGTTCTCTTCCTCTGCCACCTCTGCCAGGAAGTCCTCGTCCTCCTCCTCCTCGTGGTCTTCTAGGTCATCGGTCCAGAACCAGGCCCCTGAAGGTGACAAAGGAAAGCCAGAAGGGAGAGGTGAGAGGAAGCTGAGGCAGCCCCTTGCAGGCTCCTCCCCAGAGAAATCACAGCTTGAGTGGGACCCTAAGCACCCCTAGCACTGAGCCTCCATCCTGTCTGGGGACAGGGTACCTCTCCATTCCACCAAGGGAGAGGCTGTGTGCGTTCCAGCACACGGGGAACAGTAAAGCCACTGCCTCCCCCAGTTACTGGGAACTCTGTGGAGGGGAGAAATATGCATGTGGGTGTCCCTCCTAGGGGAGGCTGAGATTATTTCTTGGCCTGTCCTCAAATGGCATCAACTAATTAATCCGTCTTCCAGATCTCCAAGGCCTGCCATGCTGCTGAGGAACAGCAAGCTCTACAAAGTTGGTGACCTTGCCTATAGCTTCCTAGGAGACCAGGGGCTAAGCCCATTACAGGAGTCCTGTAGCCTGAAAAACAGACCCCTGAGCTGTTTTCCCCAAATCCCCTTGTCTTCTAGAGAACTCCACCCACCCCTGCCACTCCCCACCACCGCCCCTGGCCCGCTTGGCCCAAGGCAAGCAGGGCTCTGGTGCCAGCACAGCCCTGGGACCCTGCAGCTGAGGACATGCCTTTGTAAGCATTTGGGCTTTGCTCAGCATCCCCTCCACTCTCAGAGCAGAACCTGAAAAGGCTGCCTTGAGCCAAGAAGACCTAGAGGGGCCATGAGCCGTAGCTCTCTGCTCATCCTAACAGCCTCCAGCAAGCACAGCCCAAGTTTTCCTGCTAGGCCACCCCAAACCTTGACTTCTTCGTAGCAGCCGTGCATTTGGGAAATAGCCCCAAGCTGGCTAACACTGGGGGAACTGCAAGTACCTTGCCATCACAGAAGACCAAGGACATCTGCTCCCCAAAGCCCTGTTGTTCTCTACCTCATCTGCCAAACTGCACCCTGACCTCTCACTTTAGTGCAGAGTGTGGACATGGAGTCAGGCCTGGAGGGTTTTCTCTTTTACAAGATGGAGTGCTGACATGCCTGCCATCACACCTGGGAAGGAACTGATGTTTATGGAGCAGGCACAAGAAACAGGGGGTAAACTGCCTGAGCCATGGTGGCCCCAGGTATTCCAAAGCACCTGTGCACCTACTTCCTCAGGTACACTCTGCCCCATGTGTGTCCACAGTGGTGGCACACGATGGTGTAGCCCACCTCAGAATCCTAGTTTCTGGAAGGTTCAAGCTCTGAGGGTAGGAAGCCCCTCTTCTACCCCCATGTGGGCCCACCATCAAACTGTGGCCAGTGTCAGGCATCACCTGGCTGGGTGAGTCTGGATCACTGAGTCTTGCCCCCAAGGGAAGGTCGGGCCCCAGGAGGCTGCCCATTCTGGCTCAGCCCTTGTCCTGTATTCTGTATGGCACTCTACACATATGGTGATATGGTCATATGGGAAAATAGCACAGCTTGGGGTGAAATAAAGCCAGACACACAACTGTTCTGGCATGATTTCAGCTGTAAAAGAAAAAAAATGCATCATTTAAAGGGATACAGAAATGGGTTATTTTATTTTTTCATAATTGCAATACTTTCAAGTTTTCTACAGTTAGTATTACAATGTTATAATAAAAATGAACTTTAAAATAAAAGACAAAAGTTTCCTGAACTAAGCTCAGTTTACCTCCAGCTGCCACTCAGAGCCATGAGTGGGTGATGGGATGTGGGTGGCCCTTTGAAGAGCTCAGAAGAGGCTGGAGCACCCTGATGAGACGAGACGGGGTGGTGGAGGGACAGGCAGTTCAGCTGGGAATTCCTTCTATGAGTCTCAAAAGGAATTTGCTACAAGACTCAGATGAGGGTCTTGTGTAATTAGAATCAGAGGCCCCCCCTAAGGCAGGGGGAGTTCAAAATGAGGAACAAGGTCAATGTCTTAGTGGGGTTTGTGTGCACCCCAGCACCTAGCCAGGGTGAGCACCCGCTGGACACAGAGCAGACATGCAGGTCAAATGAAGGCCCACCAAAATGCAACCTCAGCCACTCAGAACTGGGAAGGGTGTGCCTGGCTCCAGTGACTCACCCAGAACAGCTCTTCCTCGCAGTTTGGGAGCAGCAGAACCCCCCCACACACACCCCAGGAAAGGTGAGCCTTGTCCTGCTCCCACTTCAAGCTGCTGAACAACCAGCTCTCCAGAGGGAGCGACCATGGGAGGGACCTCCAGAGCTGCTACAGCTGCTTGTCCAAGCCTGAGAAAACACTAACCACATGGCAAAGTGCTGGACAGCACCACTGACACCAAGTGAAGGACAGTAAGAGCAGCCATGACCTGGGGCAGAGCTGGCTGCACCCCAAGATCTCCAGAGAAAGCAGGGCCACTGAAGGGGATAAAGAGGAAGACGAGCCTGCCCTGAGGCCAGGGTCTGTTCCCTTGTCCTTCTATCACCAAAGTGGGCCAGGGTCTGGAGGCTGGGCCCTGGAGTAGGGGTGTCCAGTGGAAGGGTCACTCCAGGCTGCAAGGGGGACCCAGTTCCCAGGGAGTCTGCTAGAATCCAAGTGAGCACTTACCAGGTCTACTTGTGAGACAAGAGCCAGGGCAGAGAAAATGCTTTTACAAGGTGGGTGAGAGGGTATTTTGTTACAGTGGCCCATAAGGTCAAACACAGTTGCTTCTTCCAGAACCCACAGGAGTAGGGTAGAAAAGAGGACTCTGGGAAGTGAGAGCTGCTGTTTCATCTCCCTGAGACATTTGCTCCCAAGGACTATGACCCTGGGTGATGATTAGCTAGGATGGAACCAGTGCTCTGAGGCCCAATAACAATCCCAGAGGCTGACCAGTGGCCTTGTCAGGAGAGCCCCAAGGGCACCTCCAGTAAGTGCCCTACCCAGGCACTAATCAAAGGGCCTTGGAGAAGATAAACGCCCCCAAACCACACGCCTGGTGCACCTCCATCCCTGAGCTGCTCAGCACAACCGACACAAAGCTCTGAGAATCATGCCATTGTTTCTATGACTCCTGCCCCCGAACCACCTCTGCCCCTGTCCAGGAACCCAGAGGCCTGTCCCAGGCCCAACCTGACCCAGGCCCTATGGAGAGTCAGCTGTGGGTTTGCTCTGACCAAATCCATGTCTGTGGGGGCCTGTGAGTGAAGTCAACACCTGCTCCTGACTTCTCCATCCAGACCCAGGGACTTGAGGTGGGCTTAAGGAGAGCCCCCTACCTAGGGTCAGTTACAAGAGGGGGACTTGGACACAGGCTGGTGTGCCCAAAGCTGCAGGTGGGCTCCTTTCTCCAGCTGGTCAGCTGCCCCTTCTTCCCACTGGGCAAGAATCTGGTGACTAGGGCTATACTCAAGTGTGGGGGAGATGGCAACTTCTGACAGGGCCAGGCTTCTGTACTGGAATCTGTCCTCCCAGGAGGATAGGGCCCACACCCCCATCACTGGAAATGACCTCTCTGGCCTCAGTATCCTCATTTGTACCATGAATATCATACCAAGGGCCAGTTATTAACAGGAGCCTGAGGCCTAGCTCTTCTTCACATGGAGTGTTTCCTGGTTCTTTCCACCTGCCTACACCAAGTGCAGGGGTCTGAGGCAAGACAGAACCCAAGTACCTTATTCCTGGCTTATAAAAAAAAGGGGGATACAGGGACATCTAAGACCCGCTCAGGGGGTGGCAAAGGAAGGGAAGACCCACACTAAGGACTAACCTCCCCTGACCCCAGTTCTCCTGTGGGCAGACAAGCCCAGCCCAGAGGCCCAGCCCAGGTGCTCAGGTGCCCAGCTCAGGTGCTCAGCCCAGGTACTCAGCCCAGGTGCTCAAGGGCTATGTGAGGTAGGGATTACATGCAGGCTGGTGCCAGGCCTGAGCTTCCACTCCACAGCTGCTCCTGACTTCCTCCTCTCCAAAACCACAGATTGTGTTCACTGACCATGGGATTCTTTCACCTTGGTGTTCTCTTACTGCTTTTATCTCTATCCTTTCCCAGGTCATCTTTAAGCAGATGTAATCCTGCATGCTGTATTTCTCTGCCATCCTTCACTTTCACATGAGGGGCAAGAATAGTAGCCAAGGAGGGCGATCAGCTGCCGGCCTGCTGGGTGCCAGGCCCACGCTGGAGACAGCACAGGGGTGGACAGTATACAGTGCCAGCTCTTATAGTGTCTGCCAGAGGCGGCAGACAGGAAATGAGGAAGCAAATATCTGGGCAGGACCATTTCAGACAGTACTGTTTGCTGTAAATCCGGGGGACATCCTGGAGTGATGCAGGAGGGGGTGCTCCCAAAGTCTGTATACTCAGAGACCATGGGACTTGAATGGAGTCCTAAGAGCTGAGCCAGCCACACAAAAGGCACTCTCGACAGGGGAACAGTAGGCAAAACACCCCTGAGGCAGGCAAGAGCTTGAAGAGAAAGGTGGTCTGTGGGCCTGAAGAGCTAAGAATTCATGAGATGAGCTTGGGGGGAGCGGCAGGCCTCAAGGCCAGAGAAGGGCCCAGATGCTTTGCCAAGTACACAGGGAAGCTGCTGGAGGGAAAGGCAGAGGCAGCTTGGGTGGGAACACCTGTGGCCACATGCCTGATGGCCTCATGGAAGCCTGGGACAGGGTGAGGCAAGGGAGGCCGCGTCACAAGGATTACCGAGGCATGCAGTCAGGCCCACTCAGGGTCCAAGGATGCTGCAAGGGGGGCCAGGGGTAGGAGAAGCAGTGCCATTTCAGTTTCAGACTCGCTTTGAAAAATCCATCAGATAAGTGAGTGGAGATGTCAAGCAGATGGACAGGCAGACAAGGTGAGGGCTGGAGAAAGAAGCTGAGGATGGGCAGTGTAAATGTATGTGGTACTGAAAGCTCTGGCCCCGGTCACTGAGAGAGAACAGAGAGGACACAGTACTGTCCTGGTCTCGTAAACAAGCAAAGGTAGGTGAAGAAGCACCCAGGAAAGCAGCTCAGAAACCAGGACCATGTGGGGTCCCGAGGGCCAAAAAGGTCCATCTCCGAGAGCAGAAAGACACAACAAAGACACAAGGCCAGGGATCCCTGGGTGGCGCAGTGGTTTAGCGCCTGCCTTTGGCCCAGGGCACGATCCTGGAGACCCGGGATCAAATCGCACGTCGGGTTCCCGGTGCATGGAGCCTGCTTCTCCCTCTGCCTGTGTCTCCTCCTCTCTCTCTCTCTCTCTCTCTCTCTCTCTCTGTGACTATCATAAATTTAAAAAAAAAATAAAAAATAAACAGCTGCATTCTTTACAAAAAAAAAAAAAAAAAAAGACACAAGGCCAGACTGCCAGGCCTGGGTGGTGGTAGCATCCTCAGAAGGTGTGGTCAGCCGGTAGGCAGACTATTCTCCAGCCGTGATTCCTGCTCCTGTGCAGACGTGGACAGGAAATGGGGTCCTGCCAGGGGCTCCCACAAAGATAGGGTGCTATCTATGCCCTAAGCCAGGTGAGGAGAAAGGCGTAGGAAAGGGAGTGGGGTCAGAATAGGTGAGGAGGGGATCCCTGGGTGGCTCAGCGGTTTAGCGCCTGCCTTTGGCCCAGGGCGCGATCCTGGAGTCCTGGGATCGAGTCCCGCGTCAGGCTCCCGGCATGGAGCCTGCTTCTCCCTCCTCCTGTGTCTCTGCCTCTCTCTCTCCCTATATCTATAATCAATCAATCAATCAATCAATCAATCTTTAAAAAAAAAGGTGAGCTGGAGGTGGTGGCCCTGGTCTGGGAGCTGGAGCATGGAGCCAGAAGGCAGAGCAAGAGCCTTCAAACCAGCGTGGCACAGGGCATGGGGCACCTGAGTAGGCAAATCTGGCCAGAGTCCAAATCTTTTGGCCCACTTTTTCAAGAAGCACAAGGAGGAATACATTTCTGTTTTGCCATACTACAATTGAGAAATCCAGAAACTCCGTCAGGCTCTGAACAGTCAGCATCCATCTCGCTCAGACCCAGCAATTCATTCTCAATGGACTTGGCCACACAGAAATGAGAACAGGGAGAAAAGGGAAGGGAGACCATTTAGCAAACAGACCATAGTTATAGTTAAGAAAAGCCTTAGATGGGACACCTGGGTAGCTGAGTCAGTTAACTGGCTGGCCCTTGATTTCAGCATAGGTCATGGTCTCAGGGTCCTGGGATCGAGCCCCGAGTCAGGCTCCATGCTCTGCAGGAAGTCAGCCTTTAGGATTCTTTCTCTATCTCTCCCTCTCCCACTGCCCCTCGCCCTACTCACACACATGCTTGCATATGCTCTCTCTCACTGTCTCAAAAATAAATAAATAAAAATGGCCTTAGATGAATTTGCCCCACTGTAGCTGACCCCAACCCTGGCAACTGTACCCCTTCCCAACAGACAGGGACATATCTAAGATTATGCCTGCACCCACCTTGGGCTCCCTGTGCAGCAGGGGTGGAGACAGGGGGAACTTTGAGCCCAGTGACTAGCCAGGGGAAGAGAAGGGCACTGGCCCAGCTAGCCAGCCTCCTTGGGGTGCTGCCAAACCCCAGCCAGGTTCACAGGTCACGTCATGAGAACCACCCATGCTGAAGCCTGCAAAAGGCTATAACCCAGGAGCCTCCAAGAAGCATGGAGAACGGGGGCACATCTAGCCCACATGATGAGACTGATCAAGGCAGGCCTGTGGCCCCTTTATCTGCAGGTGGCTTTTCTGAGATGTGTCCATATACAGGGTCCACCTCCCACTGAGACCCCCTTTGAAACACCACCTCTGTCCCAGACTCATCCTGGAAGTGACTATGATGGTCTTGCCAGCCACAGCCCACCCATCTCTGAAGCCCAGGAAAGATTCCCAGAGAGGGCTCAGCAGACCATGGAGACCCAGGGCAAGAAGGCCATTCTGCAACCCCATGGAAAGTGAGCCCACCTCGGTCAAGCCACTTAGACACCACTTTCAAGTCCATTTCCTCATCTGCTAGGTATACTGGCCACCTCTTCCCTGCCACTGCGCAGGGTCGTTGTGAGGAGACAGAGTAAATGAAACAATACTCCGAAGAGTACACACAAAGGCCTAGCAACATTGTCTGTGCTTTTCTGTATTTGTATTGTTTGAGTTGCTCTGAGTCTCTCCAGGCATGTGATGGGCATGAGCCATCCACTGTCTCTCACTAGGGTGAGGTCACTCCAGCCCGAAGGCAGACACACTGGTAGGGAAAGAGCCTCCACAGACTTCTCTGAAACACCGAGCCTCACTCACAGACCTCCTGAAGAGCCTCCACTGAACCAGTCCTGCATCCTCAGTTTGGAAGTTATGGATTTAGTTCAAATTCTTTATTCTCCATGTGAGTAAAGTAAAGCTCAGAAAGTTGGAAGAACAGAGCCAGAGCCATGTTGGCAGTCTCCAGAGGAATTTGCCACCCTGAACACTTCCTGTATACATCCCTCCAAAATCTCCTTTCTGGAAGGTACAGAGCTGCCCACCCAGGCCAGCAGTTGCCTCCAAGACCCTTCGCTTAGAAATAGCTAAATGGATGGAAAAGCTACAGGACCAGCTCGAGTGTGGGAACCTGAAAGGTGAGCACCAGCCCTCTTGGAGAGTCTGCCCATCTCCTGCACTTGGTCCCTCCGAGCCAAACACTGAACTGGCCCTCACTTACCAAAAAGAGAAAACCAAAAAACCAAAAACAATGAGAGGCTCCAAGGCAAAGACAGGGACATTTTCAAAGGTTCTTAAGAGGAACCCATAGATTCTCTAAGGATTCCCCAGCCTTGGACTTCCACGGGCTAGAATCAAGAGAAGCCAACCCACAAAGGCAGAGGTTAGACCATGGACACCTCCCTGTCTCCACATGGCCCACTCCACATCCCAGACCACCAGCACCAAGGCTATGGCAGAGAGCTCAGGTCAGGCCAAAGTCTGGCAAAGCTCTGAGGAGCTCTGTCAGCAGAAACCCCACAAGATTCCATGTCCTACTCACCTGTGTAGACGCCAGTGACAATGTCTCCTTCCTCAGGACGGGGGCTATCTGGGACCCAGGGTTCCTCTCCTTGCTCCAGCCGGAAGATCAAATCTGGCTTGGGGATTGGGTATCCTGGCCACAAGAGAAACACATACAGCTGCAGGGCCACTCTGGGCAGGCCCTGCCCTCACCCCACAGAGTGCCATCCCCAACATGGCAACCAGCTCCTCACTTTCTCTCCCCTCTTCTCCATTCTTCTGAGGACCAGCCCTCCCACCTCCCGGCCTCCACCCTGGGGGAAATCCCACATTCATGAATCTGGAGCTTTGTCCCAATACCTGCAGCTCTCCTGCTGAGCCCCTCCACACCTTCATCTCCTCTATCATCTGACTCCTCAACCCCGGTGGCCTCTAGGGAGTATACAGCACAGAGACCAGCACCAGACTGGCAGCTCCCAGAACACATCCACCTGGCTTACAGCACTTCTGGGCCACCGTGGAGACCCCAGAACACAGCCCCATCCAGAAGACAGGTAGTCCCTAGGTCCCTAGGACTTCCCCTAAGAGGTGGGCTGGCTCCAGGACCTCCTGCTCCTAGATCCTGGGGCTTCAGAAGCCACTCTCCCAAACAGCTAGGCTGCTGGCAGTCATCACACCAGGAAGCTTCCCTGCTTACCCAAGGACACCAGGATCCCATAGTTTTCCTGCATGACATCCTTGTAAAGGTCTCGCTGGTCTGTATCCAGCCTTTCCCATTCCTCTAATGAGAAGTACACAGCCACATCTTCAAAGGTTACGAGCCCCTGGAAAACAAAGCGCCCTGGCCACTGCCCTGAGCTGCCCTAGGAGAGAGGCAGGGGAGCCCCTATAAAATGAGCAGCAGAAAATCTCTTCAAGAAGAGAGCGGACCATTGTCCTGTAACATGGCACTCACAGGGATGCAGCCTGATATCCCATCACTGACAGGCCTGCACAGGCCCAACAGTACGGAAGGTGTCTGATCCTTGCTGTGGCCTTAGAAGGCAAGGAGCCCACTTCCATTCAGGGATTAGGAACCCAAGCTCAGAGGCAGTGAATGCCCAGCTCATGGGGGGCAGAGCCAAGACTCATGCTGAGGTCAGGAGACCATGAGGCTCAAGTCCAAGGCTCTGCGAGGGAGGCTGTATCCTCCCCTTCTACATCATCATCCAGCTTAAGCCAGTAGTCATATCAGCAGTGTGAGGGCCCACACCCGGGTGAGGACATGGCATCAGCTACGCTGACTCGGGGCACTGGTGCCCAATCTAACTGGGCTCAGCAGGAAACCAGAGCCCAGACAGGTGACAGGCACTTGAGGTCAGGGGACGCAGCCCAGCCCTGGGGGAGAGCCAGGCCTTTGAAGGAACTACACACAGTGCAGCCCAGTGAGTGGCAGTCAACATCATCAAGACTTGATGGCCTGGGAAGTGTTGGGCCCCAGGAAAATGGAACCACATGCCAAGGGCTTGGGGCTACAGACCCCCACTTGCTTCTTGCCACCTCGTCCTTGCTCCCAGCCTAAGCTCACCCTGAGGACCACAGGGTCCACAGTGCCTCAGCTTTGCCAGCAGGGGTCTCTAGGACAGTAGGTACCAAGCCCCCCTCTCAGGAAACCCTGCCTGGTTAACTGAGCTGCAAACAAGAGAGCAGCTCACCTGAGATCCAGCTGTCAGAGAATCATCATCCTCTTCCTCTTCCTCTTCCTCCTCTTCCTCCTCTTCCTCTTCTTCCTCCTCCTCATCATCCTCTAGGTCCTCATCCCTAGGTGTGGCTGGACCCCATGCGGCCTGCAAGGCTGAGGAGAAGATCTCTGAGGGGCCTGCTTTCACGGTCACCTCTGCTGGGACAGCAAGTAGGGTCAGGAGCTCCTGGGTCCTGATGCTCCAGCTCCAAGCATGTCGGGCCCAAGAGCTCTCCCGCCTGCCCTCCCAAGCCCCCACAGTCGCCCCCCAGGAGCCAGTTCCTTTTCTTACCCTCTTCCTGAAGAACTGGGGACTTGGCATCACTGCCACGGCTTAGACGCTCCTGGGTCCCCAACATCAGACTCTGCTCCTCTGCCACCGCGTCCTCCACGTCCTCGTCCTCCTCCAACTCCACCTCAACCTGATCCATGTGCCCTGCCCGCCCCCCCTCCTCCTCTTCCTCCACCACCTCCTTGTCCTCCCCTTCTTCTACCATGATCTCTTCTTCCTCCTCCTCCTCTATCTCCACCTCTTCCCCCTTTTCTTCTTCCTCTTCTTCCTCCTGAGCAGGGCCACATTCCAACCCATCCTCTGCCTTCGCCAGCTGCGTGGCTGGTGAGTCTGGAGTCACACGCGGGGCTGCCATCTTCCCCGGAGGACAGCCTCAGCTCGGCCTGAAACACAGTCGGGTGGCAGTGATGAGCCACCTACGGCACACTCACTCGAGTTGCTCCTCGAGCCTCACACCGCCCTGACGGAGGCAGGATTTATCTCCCCCGCTAGACAGTAACGGCACCAGAGTTGAAGAAGGACTGGGGCTCTTTCCACGATCGCACGTGGCACAACTGGGACACTCTGTACCCTAAAAAACCACAGAGCCCCTCTCCATGACCCCATTATGCGGCCTCAGCTCTTTCTTGCCAGCAATTATGTGCTGGGTATGAACGGTGGTGCTTTCTTGAAGTAAATCAGGGATCTAGCCCAGGTCTTGATCCTCAGGGGCCATGAAGAACAGGGAGTCCAGGCAACACGGCCAAGAGTGGCCCACTTTTGGCTGAATGGGGTGAGTGCAGCCTGGGAGGAACAGCTAAACCAGCTCTCAATGCCCACACTGTGCCGGTAGGGCTATGGGGGGAGAGGCCTGGGCATGCGCAGGGGTGCAAGGAAAGACCAGCAGGTCAGGCTCCTTCCTGCCAGAGGCGGCACAGAGGCGGCGTATGTGTTACCCTCTGCACCTCCCTTGCCCCTTGCTCTGTACAGAGTATCTGGAAAAACTTCAGTGGATCACAGAGATTTGGTTCATCACTGGACCAGCAAAGATGATCTAAAATATCCTGTGACATCTCTTCAAATTTAAGGATCAGATAATCCCAAGGAGAGAACCATCATAACCCCAGTGGCTTATAGGGTTCTACGCACCCCAACATCACAGCTGGCTCAGCCCAAGTGCTCTGGAGAGACACAGCCATGCTGCCGCACGGCCCAGACCAAGGGTGGTAGACTTGATGGACAGCAGGCTACAGGTCCAGGGGCCACTCCTCCCTCCTGGGCACACACCCTTTACCAGCCCAGTGGAGGCCCAAGGGCAAGACAGAGTCAGAATTTTGACAAGTCAATTTCCATGGCTTCTTTTTGAATGAAAGCTTAAAAATGAGCCCATCACCCAGCACCAACCCCATCAGCACCTAAGACCTAACTGGGCTATTTCCAAAGAGCTTCAAGCCCACTGCAAACACAGGAACCCCAAAATCTTGGGATGAGGGTATGAATGCCAGGATACTGCAATGTCAGGCCACATGGGACAGCTGGGCCCACCCATACCTCAACCAGCTCTACCGGTAGACATCTGCCACAGAACCCCTACAATGGGACAGGGGCCCCCACATAAAGATGTGCAGGGTCATGAGAACGGCTCAGAACCCTGGGAACCTATGAGAAATCTGCTCAGTGAATAGCTCTTATTCCACAACTCATCGCTCTTCTTATTAAAAAGGCAACACACACTCATTTTCTGAAGCGCTCTATGCTGCTGCTTTAAATCCACACTTAAACAGCTAGGGAATGTGGAGCATTCATTAAGGCCTCCCAGTAGAGCAAGGCCCCGGTCCAGGGGCTGGAATGCACGGGCACCCCGAAGCTACCTCTGTCCCGCTCCTCATTCTCCCCTCTATCTGACTAGATTGCAGATTCACCATTCCTGAATCCAAGGTCACAGGGGAAGACCTATGCCTTGGTGGGCCACCCCAAAGCCAGTGCTGTTGGTCTCCATAGCTCTTCGGGCTTGTAAAGGCGCCGAGGTGTAGACAGACATGTGTGCCATATGCTACTCAAGCCACCGCCAAGAAGATGCAGCCCTACCCAGCACTCAGGGCATTGAGAATGCACAGCAAACGTTTCCTAACCTCCACCCACCTGAGGACCCACAGAAGGCTTTCGTCACTCAGGCCTCAGGCTGCAAATCCTGGCTGAACCCAGATACCACACCAAGCCCAGCAGAGCTGCCTCCTGCCTGGTCACCATCCAGAGCAGACTCCCATAGGCCAGTCTGCTGTATCCAAGGACCCACTCACTAAAGAAGAAAACCCTAAGGCTTTGGAATAAAGTGGCCCCCTGCTGGTCCCACCTCTGGACCTTTGCCCATGACATTTCTTTTCCCTAGAACTTGCTTTTCCTCTTCACTGATCCTCTGGAGGGAGTCTCCTGGGTCCCATTTCATACAGTTCCATGAGCTCTGCCCTCACAGCACCTCATTTTTATATATTTTTGGAACTGCTTACTGCCTGTCTCCCCAAGTACATGATCAGTTGCAGGAAGACGAAAGGTCCCTTTGTTCACCTCCGAATCCTCCTCGTGCCAGACACAGAGCAAACACTCAAATATTTATTAAGGAAGTGACTCTAAAGTCTGTAATCAATGTGATGAACATGAGCTTTTAAAAACTCAGGGGTGCCTGGTTGGCTTAGTCAGTAAGGCACATGACTCTTGATCTCCTGGTCGTGAGTTCAAGCCTCACATTGGGTGTAGAGCTCATTAAAAACAAAACATCTCAGTATTCTGGCTGCACTGGCACATTCCAGAATAGACTGACCACTCTTCAGGGTTCTTCAAGATGGAACCCACTCCAGAAGCACTAAGAATCTCTGCCTTTGAAGAAGCTGTGGCCTGAAGTCCCTTCTCCCCAAAAATGTACCTGCTGGTAACCAGAGAAGGGAAGGGGTCAGCGCTCACCCTGCAGATACAACCATGGCCTAGCACAGCCAGATACCCCCACATGCCTCAACCCAGAATCGAGAACAGAATCATCCTGGAAAACAGACTTCAGTAACTCAGGCACCAGGTTCCTTCTGCATCATCAGGCAGGTGCATGCTGGGCACACTCCCCCAGACCCTCATGCTTTCCTTTCTTCCCATCCTGTCAGCCTGCTGACACTCCTCTGCCCAGTTCCAGGCATCGAATTCCAGGTCAGAAGTCACAGAGGGTCAAGTAAGCAGCCTCATGAACATAAACCCCCACATCATCCCAGACCCTTATTTCCACCCGGGCCATGCATCCTAGGATACAGCACTGCAGACACTTGGAGCTGAGAATGACAAGGCACCCTCCATGGAGAGAAGGGAGAATGACAAGAATGAAAAAAGTAGCAAAGTTTGGAAACTGTTAGAAACTCTCCACAAAAGTCCCCAGTTCAAGGAACCTACATAGAGAAGGAGAACTGTGTGGGTGCACATGGATCTAGGTCCCTTCCCTCCCTCTAGGTGACTGTCCTCACCACACCCCTGTTATTCAAAGCCTTCCAGGTTTTTGTCTTCTCCAAGAACCCTTCCTTCCTTGACTACTAGGATCCTCACTGTGTGTCCATGGATTGGGCTCCCCTACTTCCCAGGATCTGCTCCTGGTGCATCCGTATGCATGCAGCCATCCCAGTTCCCCCAGGCCAGACCCTCACCATGCTGGCTGGCCAGCTCCCCAGACCTGCCAACACTTGTTGAACCAGACGGAGCGCCAAAGTCTCCCCACACAGGTGCAACTAGGAGTCTGATCCTCCGGCCCACCTCGCCTTCTCCCTACCCACCTAGTCCTCCACCGAAGACCCACCCCTTTCCCACCTCTGTGGCCGCATGGGGCAGCCCAGACCCTGCCCAACCCCAGGGATGGGTTCCCCTACCCGACTCCCAGCAGTAGCAGACGGCACAGCAGCCCACCGGGGCCTCCATTTGCAGAGAGGGAGGACCCAGACGAGGCCCCCAAGGTCACTGAGCAAGCTCACGGGGCGCCCGGCCAAGGCACTTCCATCCCTCCAGGGGGCTTATCGGGCTTGGGCCGCCCGAGGAGGCCGCGGCGCTGACAGCCCCTCCTGGATGGGTGTGTCCCCGGGGGCGGCCACGGCCCAACCCCCGCCCCTCGGGCCTAGCCGGCGGCGGGCAGCTCCGGAAGACTCGCGCGTGTCCTCCCCAGCCCGCCGGCTCCGCGCTGCCGGCCTCCGCCCGCCCCGGGGGTCGGGGCCCGCCCCCATCGCGCGGGCCGGGGCGAGGGGCCGTGCGCCGCGCCGGCCGTGGGCGCGGCCTCCCAAGGCCCGGCCGGCGCTCCGCTCCAGCCCCGCCAGGCCCCAGGCCCGGCCCCTCCGGCCCCGCGGCCTCCCCGCGGCCTCCCGCGGCCTCCCGCGGCCTCCCGCGCCGGCGTGGAGCGGCTGCCCGACCCGGCCCCGCGCCCCGCGCGCCGCCGCCCGCACCTGCCGCCCACTCACCGCGCGCGCGCCGGGCCGGCCGAGCCGCCGCCGGACGCCGGGGCCGGGCCGGGCCTGCGCGCCCCGCGCTACACAAAGTGACGGCCCCGGAGCTGCGCGGCGGCGGCGCGTGGGCACCGGAAGTGCCGCCGCCGGGCCCCGCCCCGCCCGCGCCCACGGGGGGCCACTTCCGGTCACGCGGGGTCGAGCGCGGCTCCCAGAGGGGGCGTGCGTGGAGCGAGAGGAAGCGCCCCGCGAGTGAGGGAGGGCGCTCTGGGTCCTGGATCTCGGCCCCGCCCGCGGGGACCCCAGCGCCCCCTGCCCCGACCCGAGATCCCACCTCCACCCCTGGACGCCCCAGCACCTGGTGTCCCAACCCGAGACCCAGACTCCAGGGCACCCCAGCGCCCTCTTCTAACCCGAGACTCCAGCCACCCCTGGGAGCCCTAGCGCCCCCTACCCGGACCCACGATCCCGACTCCATCCCTGGACACCCCAGCGCCCCTGTCTCGGCCAAGACCCCGACTCTACCCCCGGACACAGCAGTGCCCCCAGCTCCGAGACCCTGGCCCCAACCCCTGGACACCCCGTCTCTGCCCTCCCCCTGGAGTCACCACGAGAGATCCCTCAGCTCTCAGCCTACCCTCTCCCCAAGCCCAGTCGGGATTCCTGATTGAACCAAGATTCAGGGAGTGCCTACTGAGTGCCAGATCATTGGAGCTAGGCCCACCCCGCCTTGGGACCCTCTCCACGTCCTGAGGCAGTGGAGGTAGGTGATGAGCTGTGGAGGGACCTCGTAGAGACATCTATACAGTCTAAGTGCCATGACACCAGAAGGCCCCGGACGATCCCTTGCAGGTGATGGGCAAGTGGGACTGTAGCAGGTGGGCCAGGTGTCCAATGCTCACTGGCCCTGCTTGCAGGGCCACCAGTGCCTGCAAGACCAGTGCCGCTAACTGTGAGGGTTTTACCCGGAACGATGACGACTGAGGGGTGGTGGGCTGGAGCAGCCTCTGAATGCATTAGGGCCTCGGATTAGAACTTCACCTGGATGGACATGTAATCGGGACAAAGCAGAGGGCCACCTTTGGGAATGGAAGGGTCCTCCAAGCAGAGGGAGATACAGGTGGTCAGTGGCTGTAGGAGCTGTGAGGTGAGGCTGTTGGACTCAGGGTCCACCTGCCGCCCTCCCCAAAACCTGTCTGCATCCACTCCCAGGGGACACAGCTGGGTCTGAGGGTGAGCTCTTGAATTCAACAGAGGTCCAGGCCCTTTTCAGCCTGCCTGCAAACCTTAGTCAGGAATGGTGCAGCCCTGCACCTTCCCTAGCTCCCACCCCACAGGTACTATTATTCTTAAACTTTCTGTAATGTCCCCCAGCCTTGGACTCTTGGGACAGAGCAGCAACTTGACCAGGCTTAGGCCAGGTTTAAACCTGCCTGAAATAACAGCTTCTCCCCTCCAAAACCTCAGCCCATGGCTGGTGAGCTTCTCAGGCCTACAGAAGAGTCAAACCTGTGTCCTGCAGAGGGGTACGGCCTCCCCTCCCCTCCCCTCCCCCCAAGCCTCACCTCCTCCAGCCCAGAGCACCAGCTGTCCACCCTCCAGCTGAGTCTAAGTCTCCACAGTGATTGTCTTTGGCTTCTGGTGTTTTTAAAATGTTTTGAAATTACTAACACTTAAAAATTGAGGGTCTCCTGTAAAAAGATTGCAAACATCAGAAACTCTCCCAGAACCAACAGCTCCCTCCCTGCCCTCATCAGGTAGGGACCCTGCATCACCCCAGCATCTCTTCAAAACTCTTTTTTGGGGACTCCTGGGTGGCTCGGTGGTTGAATGTCTGCTTTTGGCTCAGGGCATGATCCTGGGTCTGGGGATTGAGTCCTGCATTGGGCTCCCTGTGGGGAGTCCGCTTCCCCCTCTGCCTGTGTTTCTGCCTCTCTCTGTCTCTCTCTGTGCATTTCTCATGAATAAATAAAATCTTTTAAACACACACACACACACACACACACACACACACCTCTTTTTGGTCTATCCCCCCCACCAGATACCTAAACGAAGACCGATTTTCTTTGCCCTCCCTTCTCTGAAGAGATTTTCAAAGGCATGGAGTCCATGGGCCTCTCCCCACCCAGCAGACTCTGCCCTCCACCACGCTTGCTTGAGTCTCCACTACCTTCCAGAGGCTGAGCAGGGAGACTGCCTCATCTGGCCTATTTCTTCCCCTCTCTGAGGCTCTCCTCCCCACCACCCCCAGAAGCCTCTCCTTCCTCCTGCCCTCTAACAGGCAGAGCCCCCAAAGCTTGTCCAGTCCAATACACCACGTGCGGCAGCCACACAAAGGCCCCACAGTCCACCACCCAGTCAGCATGTCCAAGGTCAAAGTTAGGCTTGGGACATTCCCCCAAGGTACTGTCCTCCCCTGCCCCACACCTGTGACTTCAGAAGCAAGGTGTACTCAGGTAGACCTGCCCACTCTTCAGTGAAAATCAAGCTGCTTGATAGGAGCCTTCATATCTGTGCTTATTTTATAGTCAAATCAATATAATTCCTGACTCTTACAACCCCACCTGATCTGGTTCCTTCCAGATCAGCTCTCCACTGGATCCGGATTGGGTGCCTGGGGTGTGGTGGGACTTGCCAACTGCCTCAGACTGGCCAAGCTTCTGCAGGTGACCCTCCTCTGGGCCCCAGTCAGCTTTGTGCCTACTCTGAGCAGATCCAGGCTGTCCCAAATGGGTCATGCTTTGGACTCTCATGTCCTGAAGTCACCTGGCCTTAACTTTTCCAGCAATCGAAGCCCAGAGCTGACAGGGATTGGAACTGGCTGGCCCAACACCTATAGGCACAGAACCTGAGCAGAACCATAGGGCAGGGCTCCTGCCAGGCAGGCCTGTCTTCCCGGGGGTGCTAGAGAGCCAGATTCCAGCCTTGACTCCCCCCTCCTCCTCTCCCCTTCACTCCATCATGCAGTGATGTTCCCGAAAGCTCTGGGTAGCCTTGAGGCTTGGGTTGCACGAATCACAATCCTGACTTCCTGGGCAAGTCCTGGCCATTGGCCTCTCTGTAGATCCTCAGGTCTCTGATGGCACCCCCATTCCCTCTGAGGCCAGCAACCTCAACTCTGCTTATCCTTTATTCTCAGCAGGGATTCTTAATGGGCCCTGTTCCCTTGCACACCTGCATGCCCACCCGCTGAATGCAAGGCCCTGTGCTCATTCTAGGAGTTCTCTAAAGAGTTCAGGCCCCGCCAACCAGGTGGTGAGGAGGGCAAGGGGACAGAGCCTTCACTTGGGCCCCTGGCTCAACAGACCCCAAAAGTCAGGACTGCAGACTGAGCTATGAAAGCTGACCAGAGGTGCCAGGGCTGAGTGGGGCAAGAGATTAGCAGGCATGAGGACCAGCAAGAGCAAAATGGAGCCCAGACTCCACTAAGGCAATGGTCCCACCCACAAGCAGATGCTGCTAATAAGAGCCCTCTGAATTTACCACGGGGGGCTCTCAGAACTCAGAATTGCAATCCTTGTGGCAGTGACAGAGAAGCCCTGGGTAACAATTATAAATGTAAACAAGGGGTCAGTATTCCATATTAGAGGTCATTGGAATTGAGAGGGATTTGGTAGATGGATAGGCTGGGATCTAGGTGTGCCTCAGTTCTGCTGATTGTCTGCCTCTGTGAGGGGCAGCTGGTGGGTCAGAAATAGAAGGAACCTCTGAGGAAGGGACCTGGTGCCCCTTGAGGCCTCTGCCAACAGAGGTCAGCCTGGGAGGGAGGTACAGTGAGCAGGAGAGCAAGCAGACCTGTATCAGGGGCTGGTCCACCCTCCACTCAGCTGTGTATGAGCCACCAGGAGAGAGGAGAGAGGTGGTTGGCAATATGTCCCAGGAGTAAGGCTTACCCAGGCCTGTGTACCCCAAAAGAGCAGGAAGCAGACAGAACAAGAATAACAGAGCCCCAAAGTGGACGTTGCCACTCAGCCCAGCCACCGACTGGGGTTGGTGGAGGTACGCTGTCCAGAGGGGAAGCAGCAGCCTCTCCCAGACACAAGGGCTAGCCTTAGCTTGAACTCCTCCTGCACCGTGCTACCTGGACTGGTCTGGGGAGACAGCAGTAAGGGACACAAAGGAGCATACCTCCCTGTAACCTGTGAGCCGTGGGCCAGGTGTTGAGGGAAGTGCAAGTGGGATGGGTGGCATTTCAGCCAAGCTGGAAAGAGGCCCAGAAGCTGGAGCAGGTGAGATCCCACCGGAGCAAGAACCTGAAGGTGGGGAGCTTGGGGCCAGTAGGGGATTTGGGACCACCGAGTGCTGCATTAGGGCCCCCATGGTGACAAGCAGCCACCAAAGGCACCAAGCAGAGGTGGCTCATGATTTGCCAGGTTGGATGGTGTGGGTGCACTGTGGGGAGGGGTGGGGGGCATGGCAGGGGTCTAGGTGGGCAGCAGGCAGCTGACCCAAGGCTGTTGAAATAACTTAGGTGGGAAGTGACAGGGCTTTAAGATGACAAAGTGTCTTAGTTGGTTCAAGCTGTTATAACAAAGATACCAAAGACTGAGTGGTTTAAACAATAAACATTGATTTCTCATAGTTCTGGAGATTGGGAAGTCTGAGATCAAGGCATTGGCAGATTTGGTGTCCAATGAGAACCTGCTTCCAAATTCATAGCTGGCACTCTGGCTGTGTCCTTATTCAGTGGAAGGGTCAAAGGAGCTTTCTGGGGTCCCTTTTATTAGTGAGGGCTCCACCCCCATGACCTAGTCATTTCTACACCCTAATGCCATCACATTGGGGATTAGTGTGAGATGAAAGGGGGGCTGGGGGGGAGGACACAAATATCTAGTCCACAGCTCAAGGTGACAGAGTCAAGCTGTGGAAATGGGAATTTCTACTGTCTGGGGGTGGGGCAGGGAACCTGATAACTCTGGGAACATTCCCAGGTTCTGCATCCTTGGCACCACAGTAAAGGACTCTGCCCATCGTCATTCCAGAGGGAGCCCCTCCCCCACCGCAATCCCCCCAACCCTAGAAGCCATGCCTGCCCAGTCTGTCATATGAGTCCATCCCAGCCTCCCACCTCAGCAGTGCAGGGCAGGCGAGGAGAGAGCA